GTCAACCATCCCAGCATCCCTGGCCCCGACCGTCCCCGTCCAACCCTGCCCGAACCTTTCTCAATGGGCAAGTTCTGGCTAGTGGCGGCTCGACCGCGGCTACGTGTGAACTGTCGGACTCTTTCTTTCCTCCTATAGTGCTCGTCTTGTCCGCCTCCTCGTGTAGTATCGACTTTCTCTCCGTGTAAGGTGGAGTTCCCTTCGCTCATGTCACGAACCACACTCACACATCCCCACGACCCATCCTACTCACCCGCTCTCCTCATGCGCGGTGTTCATGCTTTAGTAACATATCCACATGTCTACCCAGCACCTGCGCGCCTTAAGTTCTCGGCGGGTAGAGTAGTAGTCATGACGTAATGAGGGACTGCCTATGGCGAATTACCATGTACACTGCTCAGCTTGAAGATGCCTATCAGGACTTTCTGGAGGAGGAGGAGGAGGAGGAGGAAGAGGAGGAGGAGGAGAAAAAGAAAAAAATCGTATTGTTACTAAATGGGCGTAGATTTCGTGTCTAGCATACTATCAGTACAGTGTACACAAAGACTGACAATCAAACACGTATGCATGCTAGCATACATTTTCATACACGCATGCACACACAGACATACATACACGCACACACACTCACACACATGCATTCACACACACAAACACGCTCGCACAAACGCACACACATTCACATGCTCTCGAAAGGTCCACAGTAGAGACAAAAGTCTTCTTTTTTTTCTTTTTTTTTTTGGGTATAGTGTTAGCGACAGTTTCAAACGCATTGTACTCTTTAGAAAAATACAGATAAAAATATAAACAATCCACAGCTATAACGCCACCTAGGGAATGTCTAAGATAACTGCCTACTTGGGACGATCATTGACAGCTCCATTTAAAAAATCGGAGATAACAGACCGCGATCTTTAAACATAGCTCTAATTTGTTTATGCTATACGAATGTGTTTACTGAAAGACAAGAGAGAGGCGTTTTCTCCAAATTAATAGTAGCAGATGACAAGAATCCCTACGGAGAGGTAGAGAGTCGAGAGAGATAAAGAGATAAAGAGACAGAGAGAGAGAGAGTCACAGAGAGAGCGAAAGAGAGAGAGAGTGAGTGTGTGTGTTTGATAGAGAGAGAGAGAGAGAGAGAGAGAGACAGACAGACAGACAGACAGACAGACAGACAGACAGACAGACAGACAGACAGACAGACAGACAGACAGACAGACAGACAGACAGACAGACAGAGACAGAGACAGAGACAGAGAGACAGAGACAGAGACAGAGACAGAAAGAGAGATAGAGAGAGAGACAGAGAGAGAGAGAGAGAGAGAGAGAGAGAGAGAGAGAGAGAGAGAGAGAGAGAGAGAGAGAGAAGGGGGGGGGGATTCTTTTTCGTTTATTTTTATTATTTGATTTGTAAATAACTTTAAGGCCTAAAAGTTTCTTACAAAATATTTTCAAAGTTAATAATACAAAGTTCAGAGTGTTTGTTCAACGTGCTAATGTAAAACAGGTTTCTTTCAACAACAAAACCTGAAAACATTACAATTTTATTTTTTTCGGGACATCAGAATGCTACTTTATTATTTTACCACTTCAGGGGACGAGCAGTATGTCTGGGTTTTGAAGATCGTATACTAACTGGAAAAGCAAATAGCAAAAAAAAAGGCAGAGATGGGTCAGAAACTACTTATATACTTGAAAAATTTCATAACGTGAAAAGATAAGAAAATAATAATGTATTTAAGAGCATCCAAGTAGAGAAATAAGAGGCGAACTATGATCGATGATGCATGTTTCAGATCTCGCGCCTGAAGAAGTTTTTCTGGAAAATGCAAGTCCGCCTTATACCTTGGCACAAAGTAAAATGATATAACGCATTGCAGTTAATTTCCAATCTTCTTTTTATCATAATTATACTTAGCACTCTGTCCGCAACCCTTGGATGTCCTATTCTTCAGCCGACACCCACTCTAAATAGCGAGACTTCCAACTTTAAAGCTCTCTGGTTCAAACTTAAGTTCGATATTCGTTATGTAGTCTAAACATGGATCAGCTAAGTAAGGTGTATTTGCATCTCGATGGTAGTTTTTATTTATTTTTGAAGCATCTGAACAAAGATATTATGAATGTAAATGAGGAACTATGGTCGCTGATGTCTGTTCCAGATCCAGCCTATGATGATGATGATGAGGATGATGATGATGATGATGATGATGATGATGATGATGATGATGATGATGATGATAAAGCGCTTCCCTAGCACTTGTTTGAATAAAACAATCTTTTGTCCTGCAAAGCAATATTTTGTTGTCGTGTTTTTCGTTCATTTTATTTAAACACGATCAAGACAGGAATAGCGTAATATTTAAGTTATCTTTGTGTCTCGACGCAGTGGAATCAGGCTCTCGTCAATTTCAGGGCATGTAGAGTTATTGGTATCAACTTAAAGCTTGTTCATTAAAATGTGTCTTACTTTGAATTTTTAAAATATCTATTTATCTTGAATAGAAGTCAGGATATATGCGAATGAAGAAGAGGCAAAATTAGTGAGAAAATGGCCGCCAAAGATGAGCTATTTCCTTGCTTGAGAGTCCGTATAAATTGAAAATTTTACATTTTTTGTAACTTAAATCATGGTTTTTCAGTTTTAAAAAATCCACACAGAAATGTGTTTTTTAATGGGCCAGAAAGGCGTTGAGCCAAAAAACGAAAATTCGATGAAAATTCACAAACCTGCAAGAAAAATGCCAGTTTCTTCACTTTGATTATTTTAATAAGAGTCTAATATCACAACGCTGCCTCACTTTTGTATTCTTTTGAATTGATCTTACCACTCTTGGGGTGCAGTTTTAACATTGTAAGATTACGTTTCAGACTACGAACTCGTTGGCTTTTATTGTTCAGCTAACATCTTATTTTCCCTATCCCCCCTTTACTCTAAATTTCCTGTTTTGTTCTCGCTTGCAACACGCACTCCTGTAAATAATCTAGCTACAGGCTAAAGCTTTTTCTAGCTCCTCTACGCCCCCCCCCCCTTTCCCCCCGTTCCCC